GCGGGGCTGGCCCGGGTTCCCAGCGCTTTCCCCCGCTGTCGGGTTTCCGCTTTTGGTTGCTTAGCTGCTACCACCGTTAACGCGGAGGTCGGAGGAACCCGCTCTTCTTGGAGATTTCCTCGCGAGGACTCACTGCCCCCTTGCTTCCCCTTTTCCACCGCGAGCTCGGAAGTACCTATCGCGCCACGCCTTCTCAGCTCCTACCCATTTTCCTCTTACCATTTTTTCTTTGTCTTTTTATCACTCTTTCTTCACCTGCGCTAATGTCTGCTGGCTGTAGAGGGCTTTGTGTGGTACAGCGTAAAGGTAACAGCCATATGCGAACATAAAAACATAAAGACCTGGAGGGTTATATTGTAAGAACTTGATGACATTGTCTTACTTGGTTTTACATCAACCTATGAGGATAGATACAACATCCCATTATAAAGAAACTGAATATTACGTGAGAGTATTCATAGTTATCATGGAATACCATAGAGTCCTTGACAAAATGGCATTAACATTCTAGGTAATTTATATCTAGCAAAATTACTTAGTACCACAGTCTTGGTAAAACTAGTAAACTTCTGAGCATACAAGACATGATATGATGAAAGCTTCCCCTAGAGAGCTTATGGCTAACGTGACAAAGTAAATATTTAAAAATAATTACAGAATAGATAGAAAAGGAAAAAATAAAAGTCTTTGCACTCATATGATTGTGTTTAGAACTGACCAAAAAATAACACTAATAAGCAATTATAGTAAGATTGCAGGATACAAGTTTAGTGTACAAAAGTCAGTTGTTTTCCCTTGTATCAGAAATGAGCAATTGGAATTTGAAATTAAAAACACAATACTATTTATATTAGCACCAAAATAAAATGACATATTTAGCTACAAATCTAATAAAATGTGTATGATATCTATGTGAGGAAAACTATAAAATTCTGGAAAAAAAATCTAAGCTCTACCCGATTGAAAGTTATTCCATGGATAAGAAGATTCAATATTAAAATGTCAATTACTCCCAAGTTGTTCTATAGATTTAACACACTCTCAATCGAAATCTCAGTAAATCATTTCTGGGTATTAACAAACTAATTCTAAAGTTTTATGAAAAAGCAAAAGGCCCAAGAAACAAGGCAATATTGTACTAAAGAGAAAGTATGAGGCCTGACAGTGTGGTTTCACTTTGACTACTACACTAAATTACCAAGGACAGGTAATAATGACTTTAACTCTCACAGTTCTAGAAGCTAGGAATTTCAAGATCTTACCTGAAGATCTGGGGGTCTGTTGAGGGCCCACCTCCTGGTTTGTAATGGTCACTTTGCCCTTGATTCCTCATGTGGCAGAGGGAGACAGGGAGAGTGAACTACTGAAGGGTGGAGAGAGAGAATGCTTTCTATTGTCTCTTCTCACCCTGCCCCACCCTGAGACAGTCTGGCTCTGTGATTTAGTCTGGTTTTAAAGTATGTAGCCCAGGTGCTGGGGATTTAGCTCAGTGGCAAAAGCGCCTGCCTGGCAAGCGCAAGGTTGTGAGTTCAATTCCTGGTACTGGAAGAAAAATTAAAAAAAATAAATCAAACAAACAAAAAAATAAACTATGTATCCCAGGTGGACCTCAAACTCTCAGTGAATGTCCTGCCTCAGCTGCCCCAGTGCTGGATTACAGGTGTATGCTAGCAAGCCCGGGTTGCCTGGCTCTTCTTACAAGGGTTTTAATCCCATTATGAAGGTTTCACCCTCAGGACACAACTAGCCCCCAAAGACCCCATCTCCAAATACCATCATACTGTGTAATAGGCTTTAACACTGGGGAAAGGGACACAAACAGCTTCAGAACTTACTATAAAATTATGGTAAGCAAGCCAGGCATGGCAGTAAATGCCTGCCATCTCAGGAAACTCCGGGAGTCTGAGGCAAAAGGATCACAAATTCAAGCCCACCTTGAATAACTTAGCAATTTAGCAAGATCCTATCTCGAAAGGAAGAAAGAAAGAGAGAGAGAAAGAAAGAAGAGGAAAAAAAAAATAACAAAGTCAATCTCCAAGACTGAAAAACAAAATAAAAACAAAAAAAAACTTATAATAATCAAGGGAGATTGTTTTGGGCAAAAATAATAGACAAATACTGCATATCAATGGAAAACAAAACCCAGAAATAGATGCAAAAGTACATTCAAAATATCTTTGAAGAAGGAGAAAAGGCATTGGAAGGGGAAAAAAAGTCTCTGCTGGGAATGTAGTTCAGTGGCAGAGTATGTGCTTACCATACACATTCACTATCAGTACCATAAAAGGAAAGAAAAGAAAAGCCTTCTCAAAAAGTGTCCTAGAACACCTGGACTTCTGCACATAAAAAATGAATCTAAACATAAACCTTATATCTTTTATAAAATTTGCCTTGACATAGATCATGGTCTAAGTTTAAAATGCAAAACTATAAATAATTTAGAAGATATTAGCGGAGAGTCCAGGTGAACTTGGGGTTAGCCAAAAGTTTTTAGATACAAGATCAAAAGCAACCCATGGAAGAAAAAACTGACAAGTTAGATTTTGTTAGAATGAAAAATGTTTGCTCTGTGAAAGACAATGTCAAGAGAGGACAAGTTACAGATCAAAACAAAAATATTTGGAAAAAATCTAATAAATCTGTATTCAAACTATACATGTAACACAACCCGCAACAATTAGAAGGAAGACAATTAAAAACTGGGCAAAAGATGTGAAGAGACATCTCAACAAAGAAAAGCTAAACAGCAAGTAAGTACATATATAAAAAGAAGTTCAGTATCAGATAACATTAGGGAATTGCTAATTAAAACAAGATATCACACTACACACCTGCTAGAATAGCTAAACCCAAAGAAGATCTCACCTTTGTTACTGGCGGGAATGCAAAACAGTACAGCCACTTGGAAGACAATTTGGAAGTTTTTTACAAAGATAAACACAATCTTGCCATATGAGTTATTAATCATGTTCTAATGTGTTGGTTATGTCCAAACAAAAACTGAATATGAACACTTACGTGGTTTATTCATAATTGTCAAAATTATGAATAATAATTATGAAATAATTATGAAATAACCAAGATGCCCTTCAGTAGGTGAACGGAGAAACAAACTGGTACATCCAGATGTTACCATATGTACCAGGTTGGTACTCTCACAACATCAAGGAATAACGTCACAAACCAAAGGAGGAAGTTAGGAGAGTTTTATTGGAAATAATATTAGGAAGGATAGTCCTTGGATTTCCTGGAGGGGTTCCAAGTGAGTGACTGCCCAGGGTCTCTGTCAAGAGCATTTTATACAGCAAAATCCCCACTTCGCTAACTATGTGTCAAACTACAGTCAGCCCTTGGGATTACAAGTATAGCACTTAGCTAATATTGGCCCAATAGGGAAGCAAGGCACATAGCAAGGGTACGTGGTGAGCATCATTTAACTTCAGCTTGTCTATAACTTTTAATGTACAAAGAACTAAGGCATTCCTGGAAAGGGATGGGAGTATGGGTCAGGGTGTTTTCGTCACCCACCCATGTGTCTGATGCGCTGATATAGGCTCACAGAAGGGGTAAATTGCAGTAAATCGCTCGCTGCTGCTTACCTCTAAGGCAGCTTGCATTGCAGGGTTTCTTCAAATTTGTCTGCAGCCACAATTTTGACATGTCTCATCTTTTGCACTGACTTCTTCAAGGGCCTGATTCCTCTCTGACTGCTTATTTGCTAACTTAGATGGAATATTATTCAGCAATTCAAAAAATGAGCTATCAAATCACAAAAAGATGTGAGGGACTCCTAAAGCATTTTGCCAAATGATAGTCTACAATAGCTACATATTGTGTGATTCTAACAATAAGAAATTCTGAAAAAGGAAAAAATTATAGAGAGAATTTTAATAAAAGGAGAGGGACAAGCAGGTGAAGCACAGGGGATTTTTAGCTATAAAGGCAGGTACATTGTGCATTTGTCAAAATCATAGCATAGTAAATATAGTTGGTGTTTGTTCCAAACAGAAATGCTTGAAGTTTCAAAAACGCTTGGTATTTCAGAAAATGTTGAGAGTTTCCTGAGTGAAAGATGCGTCAAAAAGTTTCAAGATGGGGCCGATGCACAGTAACACCAAGCATGTGACTAGGGCTGGGACTTTTGCCTCAAGCCCCAACTCCAGAAAAGGGAACACTGAAGTCTGAGTTTATACATTTGGCCAGTGATTTGATCAACCGTGGCCATATACCCATATAAAACCCCCCAAAAAATTCTGAATGCCAAGGCTCAAAGGGCTAAGTATGCTCTCTAATTTCACTGGAGAGAAGGTTCTTATACTTACAACCCTTCTAAAAAGCACCCTATATGCTTCTTCATCTGGTCGTTTGTCTCCTTCACTATAAACTTGTAATCATAAGTGTAGTACTTTCAGTGAGTTCTGAGTCATTCCAGCTACTAATTGAACCTGGAGAGAGGTTATAAGAACTCTCAACTTTGCAGCCAAGTTGGACAGCATGAGGACCCTACTTGCAGCTGCAAGTAAGGACAGTTTTTTGTTGACTGTGATGGCTAATCTTAGTTGTCAACTTAAATGGAGATTAGTAAAACACACTGCTGTCTGTGAGGGTGTCTCCAGAGATGACTGACATGTAGGCCAGAAAGCTGAGGGGAGAAGACATGCCCTCACTGTGGGTGGCACCATCCAATAATTTGCAGCCTGGATGCGATGAGATGGAGGAGGAAGTCAGCCTGCACTTAAAAACTCGGTTCTGCTTGAGTAGATTTGTCTTGTGCAGCTGCGGTCACCTGTGGGCAGCAGAGTCCAGTTTCTTCAGCCTTTCAGAGCAGACAGAGCTGCTTCTGCACTTCCTGAGGAAGGCACTGTAGACTGTCCTACACCCTATCCTGTAAGTCAACTAATAAATCCCCTTTTGTGATATATGTATTCCATTGGTAGGATATGTTTATTCTATTGAATATATACTCCATTGGTAGAATATATGTTAATTCTATTGGTGGGATATATACATTTTCTATATTGGTAGAATATATATATATACATATATTCTATTGACAGGGTGTATATATATATTCTATTGTTATGACATATATATTTGTTTCCTGGAAAAAATGTATATATTCATATTCTACTGGTTCTGTTCCTCCAGAGAACACTAACATGTACAAAGATCTTGTCCTTTATCTTGTGAGCTATGGGTAGTTAGTGTCATAATTAAACTGATTTCTAGATTACTTGGTTTTTGACAGAAATTAACACACAGTACAACACAGAGTGGACTCTTTAGAGTATAGGCTTTAGTTACTAACATTATATTAATATTGGTTCATCAATTATAACAAACATACCGCATTAATATGTTTATAATAGAGTAAACTGTGTAGGATAGAAGGCACATATAGGAATCCTAGTTTTAGATCATTTTTGTGTAAATCTAATACTAATGCTGTCATAAAAATAAAGGTAATATAAAAATTTAAAATGATTACACAAATAAAGCTCAGATGGATGTTTGAGGAAAAAGCTCAGGAGACTATGAAAAAATATTATGAAGGATCAAAAATAGTCTAGGAGTTCAAAGAATGCTTCCTTAAAGATGTGGCTTTTAAGCTGAAGAGTAGTAGTTAGCCAAATAATAAAGGAGAAATACTTTAAGCAAAGAGAACAGCAAATGCAAAAGCACTAGAGTTGAGTTGAATGTTAATGCACTTCAGGAGCTGAGAGGTCATTATGACTAGAACACCAGGGTAAGACAAGGAATGCTTAAAATGAAGCTGGAGAAGTAGAAACCACTGGAAAAGATTACATGATTAGATTTGCATTTAAAATGTTTACCTTGTCTATTGCTTGGAAGATGGGTCAAATGTGAAGATAAGTGTTGCTATGGTGTAGATGTGGTTTATTCTGCCAAGATTCATGATTTTCACCAAGGTGCTGGGATAAGTGGTAGAGAGTTTAAGAGCTCTAGAGAGAGAGAGCTCTAGAGACAGAGAGACAGACAGACAGAGACAAAGACAGAGACACAGAGACAGAGACGCAGAGACAGACAGAGACACAGAGACAGAGAGAGAAAGAAGCAGGTAGAGAGCCAGAGAGACAGAGATGGGTGGAGACAGAGACAGACAGAGAATGGGAACATCTCACTACATTACTGCATTGCTCAGGCTGGAGTTTAGCTCCTACCTCCCACCTCAGTCTTCTCTTCTGAGTAATGGGGACTACAAGTGAATGCCACCAACTCAGTTCCTTTTCATTTCTATCCCTTGTTGTAAACTAGCCAAAGTGTGCACATATGGGGCCATCCTTCAAATATGAGCTAAATAAAGCTCTTTATAATGTACTCAGCCTCAGATATTTTGTTGAGCAACATGAAATAGGGGGAGACATTAAGAAATGTATGCAGTAGTCCTGATGTGTCAATTAGAGGAGATAGAAAAAAAATCAGAACTTTAAACAATATTAAGATAAAAACTCAGGAAGTCTTATTGGTTGGTCAGATATGGATTAATTAGAAGAACATATCTAAGATGAGTACCAAACTTCTGATATGAGCAAAGAGGTGAATAGTGACACATTGTTGAGATAAGGTATACTAAGATGTAAAATACAGCAGATGAGAAGGTTAGAAGATTACTTTTAGATTTATTAAATTTGATGTTGCATGTGAGTTACCAATTACGATAGGTTGAATAATGGCTCCTCAAAGATGTCCACATTCTAATGCCTGAAACTGTAAATATACATAGATAGATAGATAGAGACAGAGACAGAGAGAGACAGAGAGAGGAGAAGGAGAAGGAGGGAAGGAAAGAGAGAAAGGAGGGAGAGAGAGAGAGAGAGAGAGAGAGAGAGAGAGAGAGAGAGAGAGAGAGAGAGAGAGAGAGAGAGAGAGAGAAATATCTCACTACATTACTACATTGCCCCAGGCTAGACTTGAGCACACCTCATCATCCTTGCCACTTTCTGAAGGAGTTCTGCAAGTTCTCTTTCATGAACATTTTAGTTGTGCTGTTACAGCTATGTCAATGGCTTGAATCCATTCAAAATATTTACCTTTCATGGTCAATTTGACTTTGGGGAAGAACAAGAATTGTAGGATGCTTCATCTGGTGATTAAGGTGGGTGAGGACATTCCATAATGCTTTTATAAGCATGCATTTCGAGCAGATGGAGCTTGGTACCATTCACTAGATTTTTGATCCTACTTTGTAAATATATTCATGAAAGAAAACTTTTAGAACTGTTTCAAAAATGGCAGGAAGGATGGGATATGTGTGTTCAAAACAAGGGTTATTTTAAGGGTGATTAATGGTAATGTGCTTTACTGTAATAATTTTTTAAAAATTTAAACATTCACTCTATTTTTGATCACTCCTTGTATGTTTCAACACATTGAGGGACTCCTTATTGTGGTTAGGAAATTGGAAGATTTATTAGGAGAGTTTAGAATACAAGATAGTTTTTAAAAATAAGACAAATTGAGGGGCTGGGGATTTAGCTCAGTGGCACAATGCCTGCCTGGCAAGTGCGAGGTTGTGAGTTTGATTCCTGGTACTGGAAAAAACCCCAATAAAACCCCCAAAAAAGAAGACAAATTGACCAAGAAAATAAATGTAATATCTTTCTATATGATTTTTTTTCTTTTGAGACAGGGTCTCCCTGTGTAGTTCAGACTGGCCTTAAACTCATTATGTAGCCCAGGCTGGCCTCAAAGTCACAGTGATCCTCTTGCCTCAGCCTACCCAGTGCTGGAATTACAAGTGTGCACCATCATGCCCAGCTTACATTTTTGGATCATTTATTTTAATATGATAAGTTAAATATATTATTAGTTTAGGTCCAAACCATAGTCATAGGTTAGCTACAAATACTCATTGTCCAGAATATATTTCTTTCTTCAGGATTTTCAGTAGTCAGATAGAAATATAAGTATATTCTAATACTTAGCATGGTAGAGTTAGATTAACTAAAGATATTACTGCATTTGAAAATTGCTTTCCTATTCCACGCTATGCCTAAAATACAGTGCTCCTTATTCTATTTTTTATTTTTTATTTTTTTTGGTCTTTTTGAGACAGGGTCTCACTATAAAGTTCAGGCTGGCCTTGAGCTCACTTTGTAGCCCAGACTGGTCTCGAACTTGCAATGATCCTCCTGCCTCAGCCCTCCGAGTGCTGGAATTACAGATGTGTGCCGCTATGCTTGGCAGTGCTCCTTATTCTAAACAATCCCTTTTAGGCCTCTTTCTGGTTTATGATGGTGCTTATGAATAGGAGTACTATATATAGGAATAATTACTATAAAATTTTATCCCATTTCAGAATTGAGAATTGCATTTTTTGTTTCCTGAAATAACAATATAGTAGCACTATCGAAGTTAGAAGATTTCATTTCATCATATAGCTCAAAAAGGAGCTTTGTAAAGATTTTATTTCATCATAAAGCTTGAAAAAAATGTCAGTCATTTGCTGGTCACTTGCTCTGTTAAATTATGTAACTTCCTCTTCTTTTTCAAAATCTCAGCCACATGACAGACTGCCTAACCTCTTTATAATATTAGCCTTTGTTCCAAAACACATTTCCTCTTGAGAGTTTTCTGTAATATCAGCAAGATTACAGACAATGTTTTGTTAAACCGTGAAATCATCTTAAAACAGTCTTCAGCTGACTATCTTGGAACAAGTTTACATAGATTTTAGAAAGTCTTACTTGAATGAGAATGTGTTCCTCATAACAAGCTTGCAAGTTATATTTGTCTATTCAATACTTTATAAATGCACAAGGGTGCTTCCTATTTAAAAGGAATATGGAAATAAGTCATTGTGTAAACCCTAGGCACTTGCGAAAGGCAAATAATTATTCCTTAGTTAATATGATTTTGGTGGTTCATATTCAGTAGAGAATGTTCCTATGTAAATTATAACAGTCTCTTGTAAAATCAAATATTTTCCCAGTAGTAATGTTGTGAGATTAATTTTATATTTTAATTTATTTTTCTGGTACTAGAGAATAAACTCAGGATGCTCTACCACTGAGGTATATCCCTAGTCCTTTTAATTTTTTGTTATCTCTTTCTGGAATGTTCTTCAGAATATTTTGGAGTGCTGGTTTGATGATTATGAATTTTCTCAGGTGTTCTTTTCATGAAAGTATCTTATTTCTCCATCCATTTTGAAAGATAGTCTTGCAAGATACAGCAATGTGGGTTGGAGGTTGTTTTCTTTTAGGGCTTGAAATGCTTTACTTCAGACTTTGCTTGACTTGAGGATTTGTTTTGAGATGTCTGCTTTGATTCTGAAGGGATTTACTTTATAGGTGATTTGTTTCTTTTCTCTAACAGCTTTTAATATTTTGTTCTTTTGCTGGAGTTCTGGAAACTTGACTATTATATGTCTTGGTTGTATATTTTTTGATCATGGCTATTTGAAGTTCTATATGCCTTATTTATTTGGAGGTCAAATTCTTGTTTCCTGCTTGGGAAGTTTTCTTCCACGACTTCCGTGAACAGATCTTTTATGTTGTTTGCATTATTTCCTGCTTTTTCATTGATTCTGATCAACCTTATGTTATTTTTCTTTGGATCATCTAGCAGCTGCTAGATTGATTTCTCATGGTCCCTTGCTATTTTTACGAAATTTTTCTTTTGGTGATCACTAACCATAATCCTGTCTTCTATATCTGATATTCTGTGTCTTGTATATCTGGTATTCTGCCCTCATATTGGCTCATTCTTCTGCATATACTTTCAAAGGCCTTTTTAATATCCTTGATATCAGTTTGATTTGTTTCATGGATTCTTTCCTATGTTGGGCATTCACAGTTTCCATAATTTTCCTGAGCTCTGCTATTTTATTTTATCAGTATCTGCTCTAGAGGTACGAAGCGTTT